AGAAAGACAAAAGACAAAAAAAAAAAAAAAAAAAAAAAAGAAGAGAGGGGAAAGCCTGTTTTTTCCTCTTTTCTCTCTGCTCTCTCTGATCCACCATTTTTGCAATGTGACGCTCTGCCATCACTGCCACCACCACCAAGGCTCTCACCAGATATGTTTCCTGGACTTTGGACTTCCCAGCTTCAGAAACTGTAAGCAATAAATTTCATTTTCTTACAAATGACCAAGTTCCAGTTATTTTGTTATAAGCAAAACAAACGGACTAATACACCAACAATGCCCTACTGTAGTTAGGAAGAAGGGTATTTCAATCAATGGGTATTGATTACTCTTTAATAGGTTAGAAAATATTGGCTCCAATGAAGCTCATCTTCAGAAATATTTTAAAAATCCATCTTAGAAGAGCCATTAACAAGGAGTGATTTTGCATTTCTGTTAGGAATTGTAAGGCCATTCCCTTCTTGTAGATGCAATAGCTCTCCGAGGACCACACCTTTAAGTAGATCAATTTTGGCAAAATCCTATTTGAAATGTGTTGTACCCTGACTAGGCAAGTTTTGATGCTTTTTTTTTTCTATTTAGACATTGCAAAACCAGTCACTAAGCAGATAAAAGGAAACAAATTGGGAATAACAGCACTGATAAAATGGAACCTCAAGAGGTGAAGCCCTGGAAGAGGTATCACCTTCACAAATAACTTACAACATCTTCCACTAATCTTTGATCATTTTATTGGTTTAGTTTAGGGAATGTGATGTCACTGAAATATGTGTATCATTGTGGGTATTCAAAAGTTCCTGAGTCAGATGAGGAACCACCACATATTTCTACTTAAGAACTATCTTTAAATGTGTTTATAGTTCGATGTTTTGGAAAATTTAAAGGGTGGGGGGCTCTTAAAGAGCCAGGGAAATGAACTGATCATAGTGATTAATAAATAGATAACATTTGATATTTGATGCAAAGTATTATTATTTTTATTTTATTTTGGTTTGACTCTTCTTTTAAAAACAGTTCTGGTTATAAGAGACTGGAAATAGGAGAGCAAAGGAATTAAGAGAAGAAAGAAGGTCTTTCCTGATTGGAAAAAAGTCAACAACATGTTGTTACACCTGCATTCTAAATTTGAAATCTAATTCTCATTAGGTTAATTCATACTTGGTATCAATGAAATAGAAAGCGTTTTCCATTTTAAAAAAAGTCTAGGTTGTATACAGAAAGAGTATTCAGAAAGGTAAATGAAAGTATTTAATAAATAATAAAATGTAATGACTTTGTTGTAACATTCCAAGCAAGGATTTTTGATGTTCAAGTTGCTTTGAAGTTCAAACTGTCGGGTTCGTAAGAGGATGGCTTTAAGTTGAGTGTGTGGTTATATATTTATGCTGTGACTTTTTGTACCCGAAGTGTATGTGAAAGCTTTCTCTTTTGTCAAAATGAAGAATAATAAGCAGCATTAGATTTAGAGATTGAAGCTGTTGATGATTGTGCTACAAGTATATTGCATTTCTTTAAATCTCACTCTAAATTTTTTCATTTAAAAATGTTTGTTGTTAGTAACAAATGTTTAATTAATTTTCATTCCGTATAATTTTAAATAGTACTTGATTTTTAGAGAAAAAGTGATTAGCAAAGTAGGGAAAAGCTTACTCAGTAGTTGGTGACCTACTTTCCAGGTGATAGCTGTGTAAACTGCAGTTATAGTAAAGAGGATAAAATAAAAGTCTCACCTATAAATTACTCATATCTGTAGAATGGTTTGGAGCTTACATGAAGCTGCAACTTTGCTGTTGATTTTGAGAGGCAGAACTTGAATAGAGTCTCCCAGAGGAATGAGGAGGATAGACAAGGGAACTGTCATCTTATTGATTAATTTCAGTTTAACCCAACATGTGTCTGATTTGTGAACTTGATGCAATTTTGGCTTTTCGAATAGAGGAACAGGATGACAGTTGTCTCTTGTGTTGGAATTCATATGTAGCATTAGCAAAATAACCACAGAAGGACCTCTGAAATGTGGAAAGAAATAAATTGCAACCTTACTCCACTGCAGATAATCAATAATGTTACATTTCGTGGCATGGCACAGCCATTTTATTTGGATTAATCTAAGTGAAAAAATTATATAAGTCTTTGGTATGCCTGTTGCACATCGTAGATAGTTAAGTTGAGGCCTGGGCGACACCAAGATACCAGTGATCAATAGAAGAAAGTAGGGATGGTGTCTTTAAGAAAGACATTCTTTCTTTCCAACACTGCTTTCTCAGCTCCCAAAGGAGCTCTCCCAACCCTGTAAACTTGACCTCTGGAGCAACCACAGCTCATTCATTCTTAGAGCTGAGACTGAGTTTCATTGTTTTCAGTGGTGAATTGTGCTACTGTTTGTAGTTTGGTAGAAGAGTACCTTTGGAAAGTAGTTTATAAAATTTACATGCTCTTTTGTCTACAAGGATTACCTTAATTCTGAAAATGATTTAAGGCATATCAAAAGTGTCTCACATCTGTAATAAAAACAAGTAGTCTTATTAAAAAAAAAAAATTAGATGTTAAGGTCCTGAGGATGAGAATCTCATTTTATTAATCCTTGTTTTTCTTCAGTCTCAAGTAAGTACATTACACTTGACAAGTATTGTTAAATGAAAGATCTTATTTAGTTCTTTTCTTTTGTCCTATATGTTTAAGGTCCTATTCATTGGAATGAATTTTTCCCTATTGCTGATGGTGATCAGCAATCTCCAATTGAGATCAAAACCAAGGAAGTGAAATATGACTCTTCCCTCCGACCTCTTAGTATCAAGTATGACCCAAGCTCTGCTAAAATCATCTGCAATAGTGGCCATTCCTTCAACGTTGACTTTGATGACACAGAGGACAAATCAGGTTGGCTTTTTTTTCTAGTTTTGGTGATGGACGATGGGTTTGGACTACAATCTCTCATCTTTCATATTTTATTTTTGCTAGACCTGGAATTTGCAAAATTGAAGCATAATTTTTCCTTCCTGTGAGTTGAGATATCCTGTTATAAATTTGGACCTCCAGATAATTTTATCTTAAAACAGTACAGATATATTTAGAAAAGGGTATGTTGTGTGATATTTTAAAATTTATCTTAGCTTGTTATTATAACTTCACTAAGCATTTATCATTATGAAAATATTGAAATTAAATAGTATTTTATAAAATATTTTTGATTTGTTTTTGCAAATTTTTAGTCATAATTATTTTAGCATTTATTTACAAACCTGTAATGCCATTTAGCACATGGTTTAATAAAAAAGTAGTTTAAAAAAAATCTTATTCTTTTATTGTAATTGCAAAAATAATACACATTCATAGTAAATACAACAATAGAGAAATGTATAATAAAAATTGTCTCTTTCTTCCTACAATCGCTCCTGACGTAACAAATGCTATATTCTTTCATAATATTTCAGTGCTTAGTCATGTATACACATGTTTATCATGTTTGCTTTGCATTTTCTTCTTAAAAATAAATGTGGAAGAATGTTATATTATTCTGAAATTTTCTTCCATTTGAAAGTATTCCATAAGTATCTTTCCAGATTAAAGTATACAGATCTAATACTCTTGTTTAAAAAGTTGAATTGTATTAGCTATGCTTGTATCATAATTTATATACCACTCTCCTAACAATAGACATTTAAGGGGGAAAGTAGAAGTTTAATTTTTTTGAAAAAGGAATATTTGAAACACCTATTTACAATATATTCCTTATTAATACTCTTCTAGTCTTGTAATAAAAGTTGTGTTTGATTAGTTCATGGATAGTGTGTTTCACACTGTGAATAAATAATGGACCCACCAAATGAAACTTTAGTTTGTTAATTTATTAACTAAATGAAGAAAAAAGAAAGCATTTCCTTAAAATGAACATATAATTCTTCTTCAAGCATACCTACTGCCCAAGTATAGAAACTGCCCAACGTATCACAGTTAAAAGTAAGATGAAAGATTAAAGAGAATCATATTTTGAAACACTTTTTAAGGCTTCTGACAAATTATTTTTATTTTTAGTCTAATATTAGGATGATGCTGTATTTGCTCTATTAATTAAAAAACAGTTAATTTTTTACAATCCTTAATTGCAAGAAAATTTTCACTTATTATCTCATTTATTTTAGTAATAATATCTTGTATTTTATGTAAAACTTTATCGTTAGCAAAAATTATAAGCCCACACTGGTTTCTTCCTCATATTTTTCCAATTCATAAAAGCGATATAATTTCATCAAAGCATTATAAAAAATGCATAAGGAAGAATGAACACATGGCATTTTCAACTTGTTTTGGGATGGAGGGACCTGGCTTTTTATATGTATTCAATTGTATTTCCTTCAAACCTTCGGTTTTGTGAATCTAGGTTAATAGACATGGTTGATGTAATAAGTACATTGTAAAAGTAGTCCGTTTTCTACCTGTCATTGTAGTTTAATACTGTTTATATCTCAAATATAAAAACACACACACACACACACACACACACACACAAACTGAAGTTGCCCACTCCTCATTTTAGAATAAGAAATGATTAGATTGTACTTCAACTAATATTTTTAGTCTTTTCTTTTTATAAATGTAGGCACTCTTTTTTTTTTTTTTTCCTTTTTGTCTTTTTTCGTGACCGGCAACGGATCGCAACCTTCAGTGTCGGGCCCGCACCAGACCGGGACTGGCAACGGGATCGCAACCCTCGGTGCTGCGGCCGCACCTCGCTCAGCCAGTGAGCGGACGGTCTGTATGTGGGATCCGAACCCTTGGCGGGAGCGCCGCCGCACTCCCAAGCGGCGCACTGTAGCAGTGCGCCACCAGGCCAGCCCTAAATGTAGGCACTCTTAATGGTAAAAAATTCTTACTCTAATTTCCTCTATGATGATCCAGGTCTCTCTCTCTCTCTCTCTCCCTCTTTTTTCTGTTCCTCTCATTTTCCCTCTACTTCAGATTAATCAGTAAAATCAGTTTCTCTGTGTTTCCAGATTTGATGCTTTGTCTGTGATCAGTAGTGGGTGCCCATTCCCTACAGTGAAGGTCTTGCTTCTATCCAGATCAAAATAAAGTTACCAGGAATAATTGAAAAAGTTTATAAAGTAGTTTGTACTCCTCTGAGACAGAAGCTATATAAATAGGGGTCATTATTCTTATTCTTGTTTTCTCAAGATAAATCAAAAGAGATTTGCTCATGGTGGTTCTGGGGATTGAATAAGTTAAAAAATAGAAATCATCACAGTTAAAATAAGTTGTTGCTGATTTTTTTCCGTTGGTAAACTATAATAAACACAAAAATACTTTTTGCAGCAAACTACTTTAATTTGAATAAAACAGTTTCCATTTTGTAAAAAAGCCATTCTTGGCCAAAATTAACTCTAAATCCCACCAGTCAACAAACCACAGGCATGAAATCTTCTTTCATGGTCTTTGGAGGGCTTGTTTGGCGGGGCAGATCCATACCCCATGGTTAACCTGGGAGGAACCTCACCCTTTGGAATTTTAATAGTCCCTCAAAAAGGGAGCAGGTGGATACAAAATTCTCTAGGAAGAATGCAGTCGGCTGTGGTAGACAGGGGACATAGTACTCTGATGAGGAAAGGCAAGGCTGATCTCATCCCAGCTACTGGTCTTTCTGGACTCATACAGGATCTCACCTCTTTGGGAACCTTACCTGACTGGCATTGCCACTCCTGCTGTGGCTCCTGAGGCATCCCAGGCTTGTCCCATTACAGAACTTTCCACACTGTGTTGTAACTGCCAGTTGGCTTCTCTGTCTTTGTACTGCGCTAGAGACTCCCTGGGGACACCAGATATGTCTTAGTCACTGATCTACCTAGCATGGTGCGTGGCAGACCTACACAATAAATGTGTGTTTAAGTCACAAAAAAAATTATTTGCATGATGCTTGTTTATTTATTTATTTATTTTTTAAATACAGAATTGCTTTTTTATTTGAACTGGACAGTACACAATAGTGTCCCCTAGTGAGGCCATACAGACAATGGCAAGGGTAGAACTCAGACCTCCATTCCCAGATTCATCACCTCCTGTAAGACTGGAACCTTCTCTGGTCTTATCCCTATGCTTTTATTTATGGCATTCCTCCCTTATAAGCCCTTTATTATGACCACCCAAAATCCTGCCCATTCTTCCAAGCTTATCCCTTCCCTGTGATTTCCCCAGTACACTTGGACTCAATGGAAACTTGTTTTTATTGAATAAACTTCACTCTATTTATTCACATGGATATGAAATGGGTTCTAGGCTGTGTCTGAGATCCCAGTGGCAGCTTCCTGTGCATCTACAGGGTGAGCAATGAGAGGTCATCTCATAAAGCTGCCTGCAGAGTCAATTCAGGTACAAGAGGTTGCTTAGTAAGGCAGAATATTGATTCTTTCACAAGAGCAGCTGAGGAAGATCCCAGTGGCAGCTTCCTGTGCATCTACAGGGTGAGCAATGAGAGGTCATCTCATAAAGCTGCCTGCAGAGTCAGTTCAGGTACAAGAGGTTGCTTAGTAAGGCAGAATATTGATTCTTTCACAAGAGCAGCTGAGGACTCTTCTCTTCCAAAGTGGACCAGCAAGAAATTCTGCAGCTCTCTTTCTTCTCAGCTCTGGGAAGAGTTACTTGGGTGACCCTATTCATTATGCAGATTAGGTGGGAGGAAACACTTTATCCTGGAAAAAGATGTAACAAGGACCATCCTTTCCTGACAAAAGATACTTCTCCCAATGCTCCTAGGAATGCAGAAATGTCTTAGTAAGGAGAATAAATGAGTCAGTCTATCAAGGAACCAATCCCCTCCTGGAAAGGAAGGGATTAAAATCCTGAACCTGAGCTTAGGAATGAGGTTTAGCCTTATTTAGAATAACTTTGAGTTGATAGGGATGGTCTGCCCATTTGTAGTCAGAAAAAAAAAGACAGTAAGAGTTTCAGAAGAAGACTCACCAGAAGGGAGAGGGAACCTGGACTGGTAGCCTAAGTTCGACATTAGTCTTGAGATTTTGCTATTCTGGATCATGTGTGATGATGCTTGTTTAAAGGTATGGAAAATACCATGATATGCATTAGGGTACAGAGTGCATGAGCATATGTAGATTAAGTCCCAATAAAATTAAAACCACCAAAAATTAATTAATATTTTTCATTTAATACCTAAATAGTTAAACATTATTCATTGTTTAAACCTTTAATTTTTAAAGGCTATAGTACTAATTTTAATAAATGAGATAGTTCCTGGCATATCATAAGCACTCAATAGTTATTAGTAACTAATAATAATAATAGTGATGATGATGATGATGGTCTGTGTCCTTTCTCTGAGAGATACGTGTGCAAATTTTAAAAAGATGTCAAAAGGAAGGAAGCTTCTTGCTAAGAAAGGCCTTCTAGGAATAGCTGTAACTTAATGGATTCAGTGATTGTTCATTCATTTTTATCTGTAGAAACTGTCAATTTTTCAGTTATAATCTCATTATCTAGTTCCAGGTAACTTCCTGAAGTCAAGCAAATTCACAAGATCTTCAATTATATATTAAAACAAAAAAACAAAAACAGGCTGGCCTGTTAGTTCAGTTGGTTAGAGCTCAGTGTTATAATACCAATGTCGAGGGTTCAGATCCCTACACCAGCCAGCTGCCAAAAACAAAAAACAGAAAACCCAAATGAACAGATAAAGATATGAAAGGGTGTACATACTTTAAGTGTGCGATCCCCCTAGGAGCCAAGATGTCCAGAAAAATGAGGTGGTAATCTATGACAATGTGACAATTATATATTATAAGCCTTTATTGTAATTATCTGTTTCCTTCAGTCGACTGTGGGTTCCTTGAGGATAAGGATGGTTTTGCTCATTACTGCATACTTAGCATTGATAGTTGGCTGATACTAAACTCTTAATAATCATTGAATGATGAATGAATGATCACGGAGTAGCTTGGTGTGTATACGCTCAGAGCAAAAGTAGCCAGATTTAAAGAAGGCTGTCCTGGCTTCATAATGAATACAGACCCCCAGTGACTGGGAACGTCCATGTCCTTCGGTCTCTCTCTATGGTATCCTTGCAGATTTGTGCTCTTTGGCTGGTCTTTCCCTAGATTCCAAGCAAAACACAGATGTGCTATTCATTTAGCTTTACTTCAGAGAACCAGTTCACCTTACAGTGATAAAGCTATAACTTTCATTAGATTCATTAGTTCTTAGAATATAGTCTTTAGTGAGTCCTGGGTAACTTCAGTAGGAACCTTACAAACTAAAGTTTTTAGAGGAGTACTTTTCCAAGTTAAGTCTGTTATTTTATCTTAGTAATATTAATTGATCCAGGTACTGTCCTAAGCACTTGGGAAACAGAGGACCAAGATAATTTCTGCCTTGAGGGATTTTGTATTCTAGTGGGACAGTCTGCAATTGCATAAGTAGACAAATGTGGTAGTTTTTAAGTTAATTTTTTTTTTTCTGATCTTGTTACCAACCTTGGTTATCATTCAAGGCAGGTTATTACAGTGTAGTTTAGGAAAATGAGTAGGGTTAGCAAATTACCAACAATTTTTAAAAGGTCAAATTGAATAAACATACACATTTCTAATTTCACAGTACTGTTGATCATTGCAGCATATGGCCAGTAACAAAGATCCTTGTACTAAGATATTATATTTTTCCTGAATTTTTATGACATTTAACTGGTTTCTTAATCTCTGTAGAACTCTTACAAGAGTGTGTTATTTGGGCCGGCCTGTGGCTCACTCGTGCGGCGCTGGTAGCGCCGAGGCCGCGGGTTCGGATCCTATATAGGGATGGCCGGTGTGCTCACTGGCTGAGCGCGTAATAACTTCGTATAGCATACATTATACGAAGTTATACGAGGCCTGGGCGACACCAAGATACCAGTGATCAATAGAAGAAAGTAGGGATGGTGTCTTTAAGAAAGACATTCTTTCTTTCCAACACTGCTTTCTCAGCTCCCAAAGGAGCTCTCCCAACCCTGTAAACTTGACCTCCGGAGCAACCACAGCTCATTCATTCTTAGAGCTGAGACTGAGTTTCATTGTTTTCAGTGGTGAATTGTGCTACTGTTTGTAGTTTGGTAGAAGAGTACCTTTGGAAAGTAGTTTATAAAATTTACATGCTCTTTTGTCTAAGTCAAAAAAAAAAAAAAAAGAGTGTATTATTTGGAATAGATTTTTAAAAACATTCTAAATGATAGGGTAAATGGATAGGGTAATGTATGCCAGGTGTGATTTTGGAGATATGATTATTTGTTTTTAAACATAAAATGGAGATAATAATATTTATTTAGTTATCTAGGTGGGAAAGTAATATGAATAATTTAACATTTGAAAACACTAAATCATTCTCATAAAAAATAATTTTGTTGCCATTATTCATTTTATACTGTAGCTATTTTATTATAGACTGTCTCAAACTGAGTGATAAGTGAACCTTGCTTGATATTTTGACTCACCTTTTCCCACCCTCTGTTCTTTGGAAGAACACTGCTCCAGAAGAATGGGCTCCATAATTAGACATTTGCTGATCATAATCCCAGGCTGGATATTTTAGTTGAAAGATTCAAATGTGGAGTCCAAATATGTACAGTGTAAGGCAATCTTTGTTGCTTAACTAAGCAGACCTGTGCTAATCTGGCTGTAAACTCTGGACTCAGAGCAGACTTTCCAGAGATCAACCATCATTCTTGGATGTTTCCCTAACAATGTTTGTTTTTTTGTATCACTTTCTTTAGTCAGAGCCAGCTTGCTGGCATCTTCTTCCAAAGTCAATTCCATATTAATTACTAAAGCTCTCTAATCTGCTCTTTATCTATGAAGGAATGACTTTATGGTTCAGCTCAGGTTTTATTATGCAACAGCAAGAAGAAAAAGGAAAAGAAAAAAAGCTGTTGATTTTTCTTCATTTGGAATGACCTTGCATCTGTAAACTGTACAGACCACGTAATGTGTACAGACTTTCATATCACTCATGGAACTGTGCCTTTTAAATTAATTTATCTTTGACTCATCTTCAAACTTTATTTAAAGACAAATAACATATTTTATTCATTTATTCATCAAATGTTTATTGTGCATCTCCTCTGATAGTTATCATGCCAGGTGATGGGTATAGTAGGGACCCAAACAGTCTCTGCCCTCATGAACATTGCCCAGTAGGAGAAGAAACAGTAAAAGTGTTCTGTTTTTAGCAGGGTAAAAAAAGAGTGAGACTTAGAATCTGATCTCAGTGGCTCGCTCTTCTACGTTTCAGACTGCTTTGAAAATAGCTATCTTTATTTATTGTAAAGAAATCTAGATCTAAATGAATCTAAAAGGAGCCCCAATCATTCAACATTCCAAAAAAGTTTTATTACATATGCTGACAAATTTTTCCTTGGCAGTTTTGAAAATTGTAGAAGTTAAGGTTCACCCAATTTAATCTACTAATTAAAAATGGATAGACGAACACAAATACAGACAAGGAAGCTGAAGCCCAGAGAGGCCTTGGTGAGTTTTGAAAGATCACATAACTTAGTGGCTGAGCTGGGACTGTTCCCAGATCTGCTGATTCCAATCACCACATCAGCTCTTAATCACTGATGTTCAACTTCATCCAAATCAAACTGAGTAAGGAAGACTGAGTTCACCTGTACTGGTCAATGTAGACGACAGTCTGGATCATTCTTTTTCCTATAGTATAGCTCAAAGAAAGGTCTGCCTTAGGCAAATGTATTATCTTTTCCCTTTTTCCCCCCTTTGCTGTGTGTAGAAAACTGCATATGATAATTTTTAACATCTCTTGCTTCTTATACAAGGCAAGTCATTCTTGACAGGTTTTCAGGCAATATTTATGTGGCATTTCTGAAGGGGAAGGTAATTTAAATCATGCTATATGTTAAGTCTGCACCTCACCAATACAACACTTAATTCTATTGGATGTTGAGGGAAGTTTAGTAATGGTTATGGTATTTGGCATCCAATAAATACTTCTAGCCTCCCACATTCTTTCACCATGCCCAATAAAGATTAATTAGGAGAGGACGGTTCAGGGCTATGTCTTCTATGAAGAAGTTTTTCTGTATACTTAAAGACGTTATTCTATTGCCAGTTTTTGAGATGATTTTTGTTGAAGGAAAGTACTAAAATGTACTTTGACTAAATGACAAAGATATGATAGATTTTTTAAAAAGTTAACTTTATTCTGTATTTCATGTTTCCCCAGAAATACAGAATTCAAGTACAGAAGATGTGCTTGCTTTGCCAATTTTTATGGTAATACAAGCCAGGCAGTGATAAGTGCTTTGTGTTCAATTTTTTATTTTTACTTTTATGACAGCAAGGAGGAGGTCCTTTACTAGCACCAGTTTTTAGATGTGGAAGCTAAAGCTTGGAAGTTAAAGAGTTTGTCCAAGATCGCACATTTAGTAGAAGAGAGCATGAGCCCAGATCTTCCAATTGCTGAAGCCTGTGCCTGCACTACAAGCTCAGACTAGACCTCTTTGCATATCACATTCTTATTCAGAGAGGCTGGTTCATGTGCACTTTTTTTTTTTTTAATTGAAGCAATTGATTGTACGTATCTGTGGGGTACAACGTTGAATATCAATACCTGTGTGCAATATGTGATGCTCAAATTAGGATAATTAGTATGTATATTCAACATTTCACAATGTAATCATTTTTTTTGTTGTCCTTTACCAATTTCTCACTAGCACCCCCACCCCTTCCCATCTCTAGTGGTCTCAATTCTGTTCTCTCCTTTTGAAAGTTCAACAAATTATTGTGATTACTGTATCTTTCTTTTTTTGTTTATTTGTTTATTTTTTTAGCTCCCACTTATGAGTGAGGACACACGGTATTTCCCTTTCTATGCCTGGCTTGTTTCACTTAACATAATTTTCTCTAAATTCATCCATGTTGCTGTGAATTATCTGCACGTAGAGCAATTCTTTACCTTTCAGAAATTCTAATTTCTTCTACTTTCTAACCAGTGTGTCTGTTGTGATTTTCCAGGTGTTCCATAAAAATCTGTATTGTGGACTCTCTAACCTTTTGCAATGTTTTGTTTTCACTCCTCATATACCTAAAAGTTGTATTCTTTTTGACTTTTTGTCATTCAGAAAACTGAATGACACACTTGTAAAAAAATATTGCAGACGTGGGCCAGAGAATGCTTCCTTGTGGAAGAGGCCTTTCCCCTGAAACCTGAGTGATGAATAGGAGTGAACCAGATGAAGGGGTAAGACAACAGTAGTCCTGCATAGAATCATGTGTGAGGACCTGGCTGGGAAAGAGCATCCTGCACATGGAGAATGGAATGGCCTGTGTGATTAGAGCATGGAGAAGGAAGGGAAAGTTGTCAGAGGCAGAGTTGGAGAGGCTGGGCCCAGACGTGGGCCAGAGAATGCTTCCTTGTGGAAGAGGCCTTTCCCCTGAAACCTGAGTGATGAATAGGAGTGAACCAGATGAAGGGGTAAGACGACAGTAGTCCTGCATAGAATCATGTGTGAGGACCTGGCTGGGAAAGAGCATCCTGCACATAGAGAATGGAATGGCCTGTGTGATTAGAGCATGGAGAAGGAAGGGAAAGTTGTCAGAGACAGAGTTGGAGAGGCTGGACAGGGCCTGATCTTACTGGGGTAAGTCATGGTAAGGACTGGGAACTTTATTCTAAGTGCAATGGGAAGCCACTGAATGGCTCTGAATTGGGCAGTGATCATATCTGTGTTTCAAAAATTTTATTCAGGGAGGGAGCAAAGACTCTCAGAGATGGAGACAGATACAGCCTACAGCAGGACAGGGCCATGTGTGAGCTGCAGATCCATGGCCTGGCCGTAGCAAATGCTGGGGAGTACTTGTGCATGTGTAGGTGGGAAAGGACCTCAGCCACACTGACTGTCAGGGCCCTATCTGCTGGATTCATTCAAGATCTGAAGACCAAGGAGGCCACAGAAGGGGCCGTGGCCACGCTGCAGTGTGAGCTGAACAAGGAGGTCCCCGTGGAGTGGAGGAAGAGGCCTGAAAGCCTCAGAGATGGAGACAGATACAGCCTGAGGCTAGACAGGGCCATGGGAGAGCTGCAGATCTGTGGCCTGGCCATGGCAGATGCTGAGGAGTTCCCATGCATGTGTGGGCAGAAGATGACCTTGGCCACACTGACCATCAGGGCCCTGCCCACCAAGTTCACAGGGGGTCTGAGCAATGAAGAGGCCATGAAGGGACCATGGCCATGCTGTGGTGTTAGATGAGCAAGGCTGCCTTCGTGGAGTGGAGGAAGGGAACAGAGACACTCAGAGATGGGGACAGATACAGCCTGAGGCTTGACGGGGCTGTGTGTGAGCTGCAGACCCGTGGCCTGGCTGTGGTGGATGCCGGGGAATACTTGTGCATGTGTGGGCAGAAGAGGACCTCAGCCATGCTGACCCTCAGGGGTAAAGACCATGTGTGCCCATGTGGCCTAAAAGAAACCCCAAAACAAAAGTATCATTCATACCACAGTTTGAGAATAGATTGGGTTGAAGCAGGAGTGGCTAAGGGGAGCCTGTAAGGAGGTTTTGGGGGAAGTTCTGTTGATATATGATAATGCAGGTGGAGGGCTGGCTGGCTAGCTAGAAGTGGCAGCATCAGTGGGATTTGTTGACTGATTGGGTTTGATGGGGAGGGTGGGGAGGAGTCCATGTTTCTGGTTTGAGAAAGAAATGCTGATAAAGAAAGAGGAAGTCTGGGTCAAACCTCAGGGTTGATGGGTGTAAGAAAATAATCTAAGTGATTCATTTTCAGAAATAATTCAGGCCCAGCCCAAAAGTTGTCTGACTGGTCCAGCCCATTCCTGGGGGGTCGCTGAATAGATAAAGTTCTCCTTGAGATGGTAATGAGTTACCAGCCCTTTATTGTTCTCTTCATTCCCTAGTGTTTCTCCTTTCACAGGGTTTCAATGGGCTTGTCTTAAGCCCTCAGACAAAGAAATTTCTTGCAAGGGGGTAATAAATTGGGGTAATCTCAGGCATCATCTGGGAAATTGTGCACCCCATAGTACTCTCAGCCAATGCAGAGGCGAGGGCAGGGACTTGTGCACTAGGGAATAAATTGCTTGCTATAGCCCTTTTCTGTGTGCCTGTCCTTCAGATACCCGAACCTTGCAAGACCGTAATTAAAGTCTCACTTCACCATACCTCGTGTTTCTGTGTCCATCCTTTGGCATTGGACGGGTGAGGGTATTTCTCACAATGGGGTAGAGACAGACAATAAGTAAATGGTATGTAGTAAGTTCCTTGATGGAAACAATGCCATGTGATCTGGTAGAGTGAATGGTTAAGAAAGGCCTCTTTGAAATGATACAAGAATTGAGACTGAGTGACAAGAAGAAAGCACCATGAGGAAATCTAGAGAGAGCTTTCCAGGAAGCGGGAACAGCAGGTACAACTGCTCTAAGGCAGGAATGAGGCTTTTATGTTCCCTAAGACAAAGAATTGGCCTATAGGATGGGAATCAGTGAGAGAGGAAAGATTATGGGCCATGCCTCAGAGAGATGGGCGGGGGCCACACCACATTGGGTGGTTGTTAGGCATAGTGAGCCATTAGGAGTTTTTCTATAATGTAGTGGGAAGAAAACAATGGAAGGTTTTGAGCAGGAGAATGATATGTTCTGCTTTATATTTTATAAAATATAACCGGCTACTGTTTGGAGAAGAGGCTGTAGGGCAAATGGAAGTAGTACATGGTGGCAATTTGGACTATGAGGGTGAGATGAAGAGAGGTGGACAGATCCATGATATGTATGGGAAATAAAGTCAATGGGACTTGCTGATGAAAGAATATTGAGATTGAAAGAAGGAAAAAGAGGAGTCTAGATGCACTTTTAAGGTTTTGGCTTGAGTCACCAGGAGGACAGTTGTGCCATTTACTGAGAGGAGTCAGGGGAGGAGCAGGTTGCAGAGAGGAATTAACTTTCTGTTTCAGACATGTTAAGTTTGGGATGCCTATTAGGCATTCTAGGCTCATGTTCAAGTGGGCTGTTGGATATGAACTTGAAGTTTAAAGAAAAGGTCAGGGCAGGAGATGGTAATATTTGGGAGTAACTTGCATTTGGTTTCAGGTTCAAAAGAATCCTTTTGTGCTCTGTTCTAGAAATGATTCCAAGGTATTAAGTAGTTTTTCCAGCCACATTTGTACCTACGTTCATGACTATCATCAAGTTGTTACCCCTTATAAAATAAAAAGAAGAAAAGAAATGAAAAGAAGGAAATAATTTAGAGCTACAGCATATAAAAATTTAATTTGGGGCCTAATATGATCCATGACATTACACAGAGATTAAAGTGATGTAAGTCATAAAGATTTTACCCCAAGATGTATGCGAGCTACAGCATATAAAAATTTAATTTGGGGCCTAATATGATTCATGACATTACACAGAGATTAAAGTGATGTAAGTCATAAAGATTTTACCCCAAGATGTATGCATCCGCAAAAACTGGGCTGACGGTTCACTCTATGTTTGGAACTTTATCTGATCACAATTTATATAGAATGTATAATAAGCATATTAAATATGCACTTAATAGTGAAACTATGATTTCAACATTCATGACATGGCAGATTTGGGGCATAGTATTTGGCAGTGTATTTTACATATCAATTATATGCAGTTTGAAAATACTAAAGTTGAATAATATTATTTAGAAATTATTTTCTATAGGGGAGAATCTTATTCCCATTTTTGCAGTGGCTACAACTGCTGTCATTGTTAGAAAATGTGTTTACTATTTGTTTTTTTAAGTTTTAATTAAAATACGAATGCTAATAAAAGTGATATCAGTTCCTCTGTGAAGGTATTGCTGCCTGTTAAGCAAGGTGTGTGTGAGAGAGGACTTCTCAAAAAAACAAAACAAACAAACAAAAAAACCCCAGATTTTTCTGCTCTAGTTTCTGATCGTATTTCAAATAGTTATTTTTTAACCAGCAGAAGGATGGTGATATAAATAGGAGACACATATTAATTACACATTCATTTTCTAATCAGTTGTGGCTGTGACCTTAAAGAAGTTATTTGACATCTTTCTATGTCTTTGGTTTTATCTCTTATTGAATGAACCGAGGCATTGGCCTGGAGCCATTTAAAACAACTTCAACCTCCTTATCAGCCCTCCCCTGGCAATGGAACCCTCATCGATCTCCTAAGAGCCAAATGCGTTTTGTTTCATCATCCTGTGTTTTCAGGTTTCTTTCCTCCCCCAGGTATCTCACACCAGCATGGAACATGACACTACAGGAATCCACCTTTATATCTTCTGTCTGAATATCCCACAGTTTTCCTTGATTGTTTGAGGATGGTGCACTGTTTTATAGATTTAGAGTTGGCTGTTTATGATAATTCTTATCTGTCCAGAAATCCCCTCATATTAGTTGTCTGTAAGACATGGAGTCATATTTAAACAATGGGATAAAAACATGTTTTTGAATATACTAAATTCTCTCTACAACAGTCAGCTAGGAGGGTGATTTGGGTGATTTGAAAGGGCTCATTAAATGGAGATCTTACCTGAAATCAGTGCTTCATATCAGGTCCTTGGACAACATGGCCTGGCTTTCCTGCTTGTGATCATAGCTATATCTTTTGGGTGTGTCACATTGCCCTTTGGCTTCTATGTCAGTTTGTCCTTCCCTTAACCAGAACTAAAGACTCTCCAAAAGTGGTTTTCTACTTTATTGTTATTCTGCAATCTTTCATGCTTGTCTTTGTGTTCGGGATACTGCATTGCTTACAATGGTGAAACATTTAGGACAGACACCTTTGGGTTTTGCAGAAGGCCACTTGCATGAGGGTGTCACTGTGAAAAGTAGGTGAAGTATTTTCTAGAGTTCCACGCTCCTCCAAGTCCTTTACTTTCCCCTTCTCTCCTTTCCCCCTCCTCAGTAGCACCAGCTGCCTCATTTTCTCTCTCAGACGCCTCAGGTTCCTGGCCCTGAAGCCTCATTTTCCCCATTAAAACATGCTCTCAGCAAAGGATCCTCAGTAGCACCAGCTGCCTCATTTTCTCTCTCAGATGCCTCAGGTTCCTGGCCCTGAAGCCTCATTTTCCCCATTAAAACATGCTCTCAGCAAAGGATCTGAACATATTCATAGAAGGTAGTAAATGTATAAACAAGGATGTGAAGTGATAGATGTGTTAATTGGCTTGATTTACTCTTTCCGCATTGTATGCATTTATCAAAACATTACGTTGTGCCTCATAAATATATATAATTATAATTTATCAATTAAAAATAATGTTAACAAAAAATGTGTGAATACTGCTTAAAACAGTTACTCATAAGGAGAATTGCATTTTCAAACCATAAAAAATCATAAACTACAGGGGTCAGCATCTAACTAGGCAGTTTTAGGAACAACCACATTGTCCTTAGCAGCAGGATTGTCCCTGGAAACCTGCTGTGCACGAGGTTGACTTCTCCACCCACCTGTGAGCCCACGTTCCTTCAGTGGACTGCTGCCACTGGGGTCTGATCTAAGGCTGCTCCTTTCCAATCCCTTTTGTGGAAGACACCGAGGATCCCTAAGTTACTTGGGAGCAATGGTTCGAGTTTTTTAGGGCTAGAGGGGTGGGCGGGGTGCTCAGGATATTCTAAATAGTCTTTAATGTAGACACGTATGAATTGGTAAGTGTGAAACACACACACAGTAGCATTTCCTTTACTCTTACTCAATAACCATCATCACAGAAGACTGAGCTCTGTGACCAAATGTGGGGATTTTTCCCCAGCGGCAAGCAAGCCAGCATTTCTACAGCGGACACCAGCTGGTGTCCTCTAATTCAGTTCCAACACTATCTACCTAGAGATAGCATCAGATCCCACAAGGTGAGGGCCCGGTCCCCAAGACTGCACCCACTTCAGATGCCAGTTGCAAGGCCAAGCCTCTGGAACTTCTGACCAACCAGCTATAAATCAGGGTTCCCACAACCTCGTCCTTGGGTCCCATGAGTATGTTTGAGTGGCCCACAGAACTCAGGGAAACAAGAACTTAATGTTTACTGGTTTATTATAAAAGATATTACAAGGATACAGATGAAGAGATGCACAAGGCGATGTATGGGAGAAGGGGCGCTGAGCTTCTGTGCCCTCCCCTGGTGCACCACCCTCCAGGAACTTCCACGTGTACAGCTATCCACAAGTTCCCCTAACCCTGTGCTCTTGGGTTTTTATGGAAGTTTCAAGATTATGTAGGAATGACTGAAGCATGGACAACCATATAGAAATGTGATTGGACAAAAAGGCTATGATCTAACATTAACAGCCTGGATGGGGAAACCCAGCAGGTTTTCCTGTCCAGATTCTTCTTGACCTCTCTGTGCAGTATTCATTCCTCCCGGGCATGGGGCAAGGCCCCTCCTGAGACGGGGATCTTAGGACCTACAACAAGCTAATGTAGGTGAGAGATTTCCTTCATCAGGGAGAAAAAAGCAGGTAAAAGGAGGGCAGAAAAAGGTCAGAGAGTAGCATGAGTCAGGAACCATGGATAAAAACCAATATAGAAATATCATGTCACAACACCACAGACCAGTAAAGTGGCCATGGTCCTTCACTGAATTTTAGTTTTTTGGCAAGTTTAGATAGAAATATTCTGTCCAAGATTTTTCTGAAGAATACATTATATGAGTGCACAGCATCAGAACAGCGATATAAATCTTTTATTTGCATTTATGTTTTTCAGGATGTTTAAAATACATTTGAACTACTTTGTGTATCTCCCTTCCAGCTCCATGTTGTTCATTGGAATTCAGACAAATACCCCAGTTTTGTTGAGGCAGCTCATGAACCAGATGGACTAGCTGTCTTGGGAGTATTTTTACAGGTGAGAATCCATTGATTTCATCTTTAAAAAGCCATGTTGGATAAAGAGTTTCAGTTATGGAGTAGACATTCAACCATTTTTTAATAGTAAATTAAATTCTAGGTTAAGTGTTTTCCTTTTGAAATGAATATTTAAAAATTATGTAAAGTTTGAGCATAATCTATGATCCTTCTTCCTGTCCATTGATCATTTTTATGTGAATAGTAACAGTTGTGTCAACAGCAAGAGGAATATGAGAAGTAACAACTGAGATCCTGAGTTTATTCCAGTTTCTTCCAGATTACACAATAGTTAGAGTTATAGGACAGAGTAAAGTTTAAGCTCCTGATTCTTGAAGCACTTGCTTGACCACAATGGCATGTTGTCCCAAACATACTCACTGATTTTTAAAATACTTTGCTGCATTTCCCTTTGTCTAATATTACATGTGGTCAGAAAAGTACTGTTGTCATCATACTTGGGAATGGGTTGGGCCTCTCAACTCCCACTGCACCACATTCTTGTAGGGCGTGCACTTTGCCATACCACATACTCTGTGTGTAATGGTGTAACTCATGGAACTGGGCCTGCAGAAGCATGGGACAGAGGTGGGGAGTGCCTCGGATGGAAGTTATCCCTTGCCTTTAACCACTAAGTCTGTGTGGTGGCAGCAGGATCCAGGTAGGGCAAGAGACTACACTTTAATACTGAAGGATTTAAAACCTCCAAGTAGATTCAGTACACACGTATGAAAAGAGGTATTTATTTATTTATGCTGAGTTTGCTCATGATGGTATATCTCCTTGATCTAGGACCTTTATTATTATATTATTATTATTATAAGATCTAGGACTTTATTTATTAGTAATTATTAGAATTACTACTAAATCTATGCATAATCTTTTTAGGCTGCAAGTGGGAGGTGTTCTCGTCTAATTTTAGATCTCGAGTTTGAATGTCAATCTGGCTTAATAGTGCAGATATTTTGTTAGAGTTTCCTAAGGACGGTTTCTCTCGAGTTCACCTATATCTTAAACATTCATAAAGCTGAAAAATATAAAGTTGTTACTACTAGTTTGGTAACAAAACTGAAAGTTCTGTACAGGAATCATGTAGTATTATCTTGTTGTTCAGATTCCCTGGCGTGATAGGGCCAGCAGGTAAAAGAGAAGCTTTGTTTTAGAACAAACACTGGATGTTCTGTTTTAAAAAAATAATTGAAAAATAGTGGCTGAAATGGAGTGGTTTCAGTAACCATTTCTTTTGAAATTTCATGTTTTTAGATTGGCGAACATAATTCCCAATTGCAAAAGATTACTGATATTTTGGATTCCATTAAAGAAAAGGTAAAATGAGTGACTATTTGCTAATGGCTAACATATTCCTTGTTCTTTCCTGACTTATCTTCCATTAAAGACATAGACCTTAGACATACCACATGCTGCCTGCTTTGAAGCAAGTTTGCAACACACTTGACCAAAAAAGCAGAAATAACCTATTACCACTTACTTTTTGAAAATTATGAAAGGATACTAAATGATCTAGAAGAATTACTAATAAATCTATGCATAATTAGTTTCTGGTATTGTATAACAGAATAAGCCTTTAAATTGTAACACATTTTATTTTTTTATTTTTTATTTTTGGCAGCTGGCTTGTGAGGTGATCTGAACCCTTGACCTTGGTGTTATCAGCACCATGCTCTTACCAACTGAGCTAACCAGCCAGCCTAATTGCAACTTTTTTTTTTTTTTTTTGACCGGTAAGGGGATCGCAACCCTCGGTGCGGTGTGGTCTGCACCATGCTCAGCCAGTGTATAGGATCCGAACCCAGGGCCTTGGCGCTACGAGTGCCGCACTCTCCTGAGTGAGCCACGGGGCCGGCCCCTAATTGCAACATTTAAAGACCACTTATATAATAATAAATTTTGTGCTTCTTAAATAAATCTATATGAAGTACTACTTTTTCTAAAATTTTTTAGATGAAGGTAGATGCTTTTTTTTGGTTACTGAAGGAAGATACTAAATAATTCCATATTATTTCATTGTGTATGTTTTTTGAGGTCTGTGTAAAGCTATCCTATTGTAATTTGTAGAACCTCTTTTTTTCCCCAGGGTAAACAAACTCGATTCACAAATTTTGACCCATTATCGCTGCTTCCGCCATCTTGGGACTACTGGACATATCCTGGTTCTCTTACGGTTCCACCTCTTCTTGAAAGTGTCACATGGATCGTTTTAAAACAACCTATAAATATCAGCTCTCAACAGGTACATGACCTTTTCCAGGTTGATCCTGATTCACTCAAAGGAAACTTGGTTGAATCTTTTATGTGTTTTAACTCTGCCCTTAATTTCTGCCACGTTATGAAGCCTGTGTTTTCTTTTCATTAATCAGACAGGTGGTCAGACTAGATGAGATTTGTGTCTTTCTTAATTGACCTATGATTAGATGATTTCCTTCCCACTTCTTAGAAATGTCTGTTGTTGGGAGAATAGAATAATTTAATCAGACCCCCTCACCTCGGGGCAGGTTGGGGGTGGTGCAGCATTCTTTGTAAGCAAATTGTGTGTGGGTGGAGTTGGTGCACATGCACAGCGCCGTGGTTTTGGCTGGTGTTTACTGCCTCAGGTGGATGCCGCACCTCGTGGCTGTGCTTTTCCAGCCTACGGCTTCCAAGGACCCGTTTGCCGGTTACCTAGCTCATAGACCTGCGTGTAAGGGGTCTGGTGACCCAGCCTGGCGTGTGAGGGGCCTGGGAACCCAGCCTGGCATATGAAGGGTTTGTGACCCAGTTTGTGAACAGGCTTGAGGGGTCTGTGAGCTCCAGACCCAGCCCTAGCTCGACAATTGGCCCAGTCAGCAGGATTATGGGCAGGTAAAAGAGCCGGACAACTGGCGTAGTTGTGTAGCTCTACATATGTGGGTAGAGACACTGATAAAAGTGAAGCACCATTTTGAATGCTCTAATTGTTTGCTTTTGTTTTCTTTTGTTTGGTCTGAGGCATAAACAGGCCGGGATACAAACAGGAGAATCAGGAGAGGCTTCTCACAGAAGATGACATTCTTTCTGACCTCAAGTCCCTATGCCCGCTTCTCCCAGATTTCAAAGCGAGCCTGAGAACAGTGATAGGTGTAGTGCCTTAAGTTTTCGAGGGAATCGTCTTGTGCACTTAGAAATTTGTTAGGAGTGTAGATCTCATATTAAGTGTTCTTACTACAATTAAAGAAAAGAAGGAGGGGGAGGGGGAGAGAAAAGTGAGGTTGTTGATCTTTCTTGGCTTTTGTTGACAAAACTTTTGTGGGGCTGCCTGAGGGGCTTTTTTTTGGGGGGGGGAAGCATTTGTTACTATGTAATGAACCTCCTTCCTTGTGGCTTTAAGCCAGCAGGACACAGTCCCCCCCACACCCCCTACACCCCCCACACCTTTAATCTCTCCTCAGCTCTTCTGCTGAAGAATTTGACCTTCACCGTGACAGGCTGCTTTGGGAGCTTTTCCTTCCCCAGAACTTTGTAGTAGCCTGATCATACCACATTAATGAGTGGAGCCAGTCCAGTCTTGTGTTCGGCAGCATTTACCCATGTCTGTTCACTGACCAAGGTCCACAGTTTATCAAGGTTGACGGTTGGGCAGAAGCTCTGGTTCTTCTCTGAGTGGTAATGCCTCATACAAACTTTCCCAAAGTAACCTGGGTGATTTCAGCAGTTTTGTCTGTTACCAACATCTGGGATGTTCTGTCCTTCCTATTTAAGGAATCTTTTGCTGCGTAATACTGCTTTAACTACTACTACAGTAGCTAGTTTTGAATTGTATTTTTTTGTTGTTGTTGTTTGTTTTTGTTTTTGTTTGTTTTTCTGACCGGTGAGGGGATCACAACCCTCGGCTCGGTGTTGTCCACACCACGCTGAGCCAGTGAGCGCACCGGCCATCCCTATATAGGATCCGAACCCATGGCCTCAGTGCTGACAGGACCACACTCTCCTGAGTGAGCTATGGGGCCAGCCCTTGAATTGTATTTTGATAAAATCAAAGCAGTGGTGTTCTTTGTAGAAGGAATTTCAAACCAGGTTGCAGAATGTAAGGCCAAGAAGAGAACGCATCTATTCAGCATAGTTTCAGAGGCTGGGAGGTGCACAGTCCAGGGAACACATCTGGTGAGGTGATTCTGTAGCAATGCAGGGTGTCACATGGAGGCAATGGCAGTGCAGAGAACCGCGAGGGGGTTTTAAGCATTTGCTAAGAGGCCGTGGGGTGGCTACTAGTGCTCTTCTTGGGAAGACATTAACTCACACATTTTTCTGTTAAATGCTATGGAGCCTCTGTGGTAGGCCAAGCAGCCTGTCAGATTCAGGATGTCTTTAACTCCCAGAAACTCTGCTTGGAGCTCTGAACCATGCAACTGAACAATCTGACAGGTGGATGCCGTCTGTATGTTTTGAGATGCTGTGCTTCTTAGTTTATGTTTTGTTTTGATTGTCGTTGTCCTTTTTGAATTAGGTGCTGCTGTATCTTAGCATGAACATAGTTTAGTAATTTTTGCAGCTAATAAAGTACTCCTGTCCTGTGCTTTCCCACCTGCCTACCTGTTTATTTTTCCCCCCAATCAGACTAGAGCTGATTCATCTTTACCAAGATCATTTCAGGCAACATTTCCCTTCGTGGTATTGAGCACATTCAACTTAATGTTGGGTGTTTTTCCTCATTGACCTCATCTTTAGGATTAAAGACAAGTAATAACCTGGTGTATAATTATTAAAACATTTTATAGAAGTCTGGATAGAAATCCAGAGCTTGATTGACGTGAAAAATTCCTGTGAATTTTTTCCATTATTATATCATGAGAAATGTGACCTGCTGCTGATTCAGTGGCTTTATCTCTCCTTCACATGCTAAATAAACTGTTTACTTTTACATTCCTTTGTTAAATTTGAACTGGTTAATATTAAGACTTAATAAATTATAACTTCAAGGTAGTTAATAATTAGGGGATCATGTTTCCCCTCATATTTCAAGGATAACTTGGAAAATAACTTTTGTTTTTTGTTTTTTTCCAATCCACCAGTGATTGGAAGAGAATACATCAAAATATATAATTTAGTTCCTTAAAAAATTAAGGTCAACCTTATTAAAAATAATTCCTTGCAAATTAGGAATTATAACTGCCTAGCTGTGGATTCACCACTATCTTTTTTGAGGCTCTATGAATTAGTATGATTAATATGATATTATGCAGGAGGGTGTATAAAATTATAGCTGCTTTTTAGAGCTCTAGTGTGATTGTTAATTCACTTTGAAGCATTCACTTAAATCTACTGTAGCAGGAACACTTTCAGACATTTTAATTTTTAACCAGATTGAGAAAGTTACTTGGGTAATAATTCAAATCATTCTTATAATGTGATATTGTGGTTTTAAGAATTAAAGAACAAAGCAAATGATAATTTAAAAATTCAGTCATGTTCTAACGAAGTTACTTGGGTAATAATTCAAATCATTCTTATAATGTGATACTGTGGTTTTAAGAATTAAAGAACAAAGCAAATGATAATTTAAAAATTCAGTCATGTTCTAACCATGAGAAAAACATCAGACAATGCCCAATTGAGGGACATTTTACAAAGTACCTGATCAGTACTCTTCTGAAAACTGTCAAGGTAATCAAAAACAAGGTAAGTCTGAGAAATTGTCACAATCAAGAATGCCTGAGACAATGTTGTTTCTAACTATGAATATATTCTTCTTTTAAAAAAAAGATTTCCCTTTTTTGTTTATTTTGATATTATTTGCATACAATAAAACTTACAAATTTTAAATGCGCGTTGTTGATTTTGGTGATGGTGTTTAACAATGCAACAACTGGTACAATTAAGACATGGAATAGATCCCCTGGCCAAAGGAATTTCCTTGTGTACTTTTTCACTCTTATCACCTTCCCTACCTGTAGCCCCAGGCAACCACTGACTTGCATTCACTAGAATTTTGCCTCTTCTAGAATTTTAGTTAAATGAATGATACAGTACATAGTTTTTTGTGTTTGACTTAATTAGCATAATTCGCTCCTTTTATTCATTTTTATTACTGAGTAATATTTCATAGTATGGATATACCACATTAAAAAAAATTGTTCAGCAATTGATAGACATTTGGGTTGCTTCCAGGTTTTGGCTGTTATGAATAATAGTGATTCGTATTTGGATATTAGGAGTAATTCACATGCACACTTTTGTATGGACACATTTTTATATGTCTTGGATCAATATCTGTAGCTGGAATCACTAGGTCCTGGCTGTTCAGTATTTTAAGGTACTGCCACATTGTTTTTTCTAAAGTGACTGTACCATCTTGCATTCCTACCAGCAATGTATGAAATTTCTAGTTGCTCCATATCCCTGCCAGCATTTGATACTGTTTTTCTAATGTTAGCTATTCTGATGAGTATGTGTGGTTTTAATTTGCATTTATCTGATGACTAGTGATTTTGAATTTTTTTATATACTCAATAGCTATGCATGTAACTTTTTTGTGAAATATAGTAGTCCATTTTCTGTTGCTTATAACATTACCTGAAATGGGGAATTTTTGAAGAAACAGAATTTATTCCTTACAGTTTTGGAGGCTGGAGAGTCCAAGGCCTGGGAACACATATGGTGAGGGCCTTCTTGTTGGGGACTGTCTACAGAGTTCAGTGGTGATACAGGCAATCATAGGGTGAGGTTGGCAAGAGCACTTTCATGTGCTCTTATAAAGCCACCAGTCCACACCAGTGGTAACCCAGTAATCAATTAACCTATTGATGGATTAATCCATTCAGAGCCCTCATAATCCAATAACCTAAAGGCCCCACCTTTCAACACTGCCACATTGGGGATGAATCTTCCACATGAACTTTGGAGAAGACAGACATTCAACCCATATCACAAAGTATCTATTTTAGTCATTTGCCCATTTTAAAATTGGGTTGTTTGTCTTCTTGTTATTGAGTTGCAAGAGTTCTTTATGTAGTCTGGGTAAAAGCTCCTTCTTGGATACATGTTTTGCGAAACTTTTCTCTCAGTTCCTGGTTTGCCTTTTTTTTTTTTTTGGCAGCTGGCTGGTATAGGCAGAAATCTGAATTTTTTCTTATTTCTATTTATTTATTTTTTAAAGAAGACCTATAAGGGGATTTTAACCCTTTACTTGGTGTTATCAGTACCACACTCTCCAAGTGAGCCACAGATCGGCCCAGAAATCTGAATTTTTGAGAATCACTCCAAAGTATTTGTATTCAGATGCTCTTGGACCACCTTTTACAAAACTGGCTTAGAGTGGGACCTGTGTGTAGAAGTAATAAATTAATATGGGAGAGTTAGTTGGAACTGGGTGGTTGAGAAGCTCAGAAGTCATGCTGACAAGTTTGTTTTGTGTGCCTATTAAAATGTTAGAAATATTATGTATTTTAGAGATATATTTTGAAATGTTTACACTGAAATGACACGATATTTGGAATTTGCTTTAAAGTGATTGAGTTTGGGCAGGATGGGAGGTGGAGGAAAAGCTTGGGTGGGTGTATGGATGAAAACATTGGCCACACGTTGATGATTGCTGAAGCTGGGTGATGGTTTCATCATGGTTTATTATACTGCTCTTTCTACTTTTGTGTATGTTCGAATGTTTCCATAACAAAATAAATAAATTTAAAAAAAGAGATTGGGGGAAAATGGGAAAAAAGAAAAGTTAGTGATGCAGAATAGTTCTCTGGTTATTGCATGGCATATTTGCTAGATGGTTTATGGAAACTTCCTAGCTATCCCTCAAGTTCTTCATTGGTAAAATGGGATAACTGTATATTACTCATAGGATTATTTTGGGGATTATATAAGATAAAGTAATGTAAAGCACTTAGCACAGTGTCTAGCCTAGCATGTTTCATAAGAGAGCTTGTTTTATTATTACTTAACTTTGGCAGGCAGTGGAGTGCAATTAAAGAGGTTTGAGCGTGAGAGTGACATACAGCTGTGTACAGAACTATTGGAAAATAGTATTTCAGCTTACTGGTGTTACTACCCAAGGAAATTAAAATTTCAGTAGTAGAACCAAGGAAACCATCAAAACAGGTCATACTTACCTCAGCAACGAGGCTGAACTGGAGACACTTCCAGATGTTGAGGCAGCCTAGGTGACAGAGGGGCACATTTTCTGCCTGAACAAAACCTGGGGCCACATGAGGCAATGAGAATGGTGGGGACAGCCAGGCATGTGCATTTCAAGACCAGTGCAGTGGCGGAGGACATTGGAGCCGAAAGAAGTAAACATGAGTAAGGACTGGCAGATGTGGGGTCTCCCTAGCTGGGCCAAATGATTGGGAGACCCAGAGTCATAAAGGGAAGGGGTTTGATGAGACATCAGGACAGGTTTAGGGACTCTTACCAAATGAGCAGGCTGGCCAGAGAATGATCTAAAGTAAGATCCAGTTCTAGACTGATGAAGCTAAAGTGTTGCAGAGGTAGGTAACCATGATCAACTTCCACAGGGATTGAACGAGGCGCAGAGAGAGTGTGGAGGGAAAATGAAACCAAAATCTTCAGAGAAATCAGTGGTATCACTGGAGAAGCAGTTTGTGCTTGGTGAGGCCTGTGAACCAGCACCCTCATTTAGGACTCAGGATTCCTGCACAGCCACCTGGAATAGCCACTCCAGACAGACCTGGATATCATGATCTGCAGAAGGCTGTGTGTCCTCCCTCTGGTCTCAGGGGTTAGATTTTATTAGCCTCTGCTACTTGACTTCAGCAGATTCTCTTAAGTCTCATCTGGTCTTGGCTATAATGATCTGGTCTAATAAAACCTGAGCAGTAGTAAGTTGTAAACATCCATCTCCTCCTTCCCATATCTGTACTCTTTTAAAAGACCCTCAAAATAGCCCTTGTGGAAATACATGGTTACTCTTATATGATGGATGATCACATCTCCATAGAGTATGATTATAAACTGATATCTGTTCATTTTAAAGGGTGTCTCTTTCCTCTGCCCCCTATTCTGGTTATCATTATACAGGAAATATTTTAGGCCGCAGGTTGATATCTGTTCATTTTAAAGGATGTCTCTTTCCTCTGCCCCCTATTCTGGTTATCATTATACAGGAAATATTTTAGGCCGCAGGTAAATGATGCTATTGGAAACCTAGATGATGCATCCTAGTCCGAATTTACTTGACTCTGGGATTAGGTCAGTAGCAAAGTTTAGAGAATGGAGGTTCTTATTCCTAATAATAATATGTCCTCATCAAAACAAAACAACAAATCAAATGCCAAAGACTTACTTGTATTAGTTGGCAATATATGTTTGGTGAACATTTTTGAGAAGATAGAATTATTTAGGTAATTTATCCATCTTCATTTACTGTAGACCTGTACTAAATCTTAATTTAATATTAAACCACCAAGGAATTGTTAAAAATTTATAAAATGTACTTATAATAGAAAACTTTCTAGCCATTAAAAATAACAATGTAGATTTATATTTATTGACACACAAAGATGCCTAGGATATATATTAAGTGAAAAAAATCAGGTTTCAAAATAGCATGTATAGTTAAGTCCATTTTTGTAATAAAACATGTCAGGGGTTTGTGTGTGTGTGTATGTGTGTATTTATAGATAGAAAAACATTTTCTGATTTCTAGATATGTAATCTTTAAACCATAATCTAGCTGTTGTTTCTTCTTATTACTTTGACCTTCAAATAAATAATGCTTATATACTTAATTTTTGAATGCATAGATATTTGTACAGTGATGATAATTTAGCAGAAGAGTTGCTTTATTATATGTGACCCATAACAGAAAATTTTCCTTGTAATATTTTTAGTTCCTGGCAGAGGAAAGATGGTAAGTTTCTTACTTTTTCTATGCAGCGAAATTCATTAACATTGGTGTGACTTTCTATTCTGAAACTAATCCTTCTCTTTTCTTCAACAGCTGGCCAAATTCCGCGGTCTCCAGTGCACAGCGGAGGGTGAAGTAGAGGCTTTTTTGTTGAGCAATCACCGTCCACCACAGCCCCTGAAGGGACGCAAAGTGAGAGCCTCTTTCCGTTAGAAATTATCACCAGCAGACCATCCCCAACACAACTGTGGAGAGACCAAAAAACATAAGACAAAAGTCCCTACTAACACCTCCTAGAATTCCAATTTATGGGTACCATTTTACTGTCAGCTTCAGCATCACAGAAAAAACCAGATCTCTTAAACTAACTTAATTCATCTGTCTCAGATTTGCACTCATGGGTATTCAAGCAGAAAACATTGTTTGATGTGTACTAAAACCTATAAAATACATGTTTTCAAACTGTGTGAAAACATGGCCGACATTGCAAACCTCAGAATGCATTAAAAGTGTTATCTAGCCGTAGAGACTGAATTAGTCACATTTCTGAGATGTTAGGTAAAAAACTTAAATTTATTTTTCAAATGACAGGATTGTGATACTTTTTTCTAAACAAGTCATTCTGCTTAATGTTTTGCTATTATTCCAATATAAAAAAGTAGATGATATTTCAAAGTAAATTTTTGTGATGATATGTTGCTGATTCTCATTGCATAATAACTTCAATAAAGTGAACAGTGTGAGAGTTACAGGGAATGGGATACAGCTACTTAATATATCTACTCCACAGATCAAAAAGAACCCATACATTTGGTGAGGAATTCCTCAGGATATAAATGGCTATTTATATGGCAATGAATTATGCCATATATCATATTCACTTGGTAATATTAATGATGAACTGGTTAATAATTGAAAAGATGCAGTGCTTTACAATTTATGACATTAACAGATGACCACAGACCTGCCTGCAGGCATGATGAACCGGTTGCCTACTTTTGCCCTGTGTTTCAGCAACAGAGTCGGTAACAATCTTGTGTGGGTCATTGTTCTGTCAATTGGTGGAAAAAATTACTTGAGTCTCTTATAAATACACAATCCGTCCTTAAACCCTCAAACTCATTTTTATGGCAAAGCCTTGAGAGACATCTTAAACACGTCCTTCAGTCTTATGTAATTTTGTAAGATGGTGCTTGATATTAATTTTAACCTATTATCTCTTATTTATTTTTGTTTGTTTTTGGTGAAGGAGGATTGGGGTGGTGTCCCTTTTGCCCATTCTGGTGCAAATAGAGTGACATTAAGCATAAACTGAATTACTACATTTAAGAATTGAACACATGCTGCACTTCCTCATCTTCTGAGAGAAGTTTGCCTGAGTTTCCATGATTTTAGGGTGGTGTCCCTTTTGCCCATTCTGGTGCAAATGGAGTGACATTAAGCATAAACTGAATTACTACATTTAAGACTTGAACACATGCTGCACTTCCTCATCTTCTGAGAGAAGTTTGCCTGAGTTTCCATGATTTTAATGATTTCTTTCAGATATCTCTCTTACTCTGGATGTAGATTTTAATAATTGAAATTGTTCTGCAATATTGTTCATGATAGAATAACTGCTCATCAGTAAATTGTGTAACAATGATACATACTGTTGCATAAGATGAGCTACTGAAGAGTAAAACTGGTACCTTGGTCATTGCTGTTTTCCCTTCACTGTGTCTAGCCTGAGGGCTTGCAAAAGACTGATATGTAGTAAATATTTAACGAATTGAATATTTTAAAAATTGTATTTTCTACCTTTGGTAATTTTCTCTCTGCTTGAGATCAAATGCACTATAAGTTAATGTAACAAGTAAAATATTTTATCTCTTGAAAATTGTTTCTTTTTAAAGGAATATTTATTAAACCTAACATATGTAACCAGAAGTTCTAATGTTTTTTAAAATATCACTGTTGAGTGGAAAGATATTTCTTTAGTTTGGAAAGACCTGTTGGGAAGTATCCTAGTCAGGGAAAGAAGTCTGTTTTCTCAGAGAATATAAGGTGCTATATCTGGAGGGGCGTGTAGGATGGAGATTTTAGTTACTGTGTATGAGAGTTACCACTTTGTAATTTATGGTTTCTGCTGAAGCACTGCATCAGTTCTGTGCTACAAATTGCACCTTAGTTGACTAAAAAGTCGACACATCACTGATTTCCTTGAAGATTGCCTGTTAATTTATATATCTCTTCTAGGCAAAAGGTCTAAGTGTGTGTTAAAATTATTGCCTTGTTTCCTCTTTTAAAAAAAAGTAAAGACTTATAAATACTAGTATAGATCTGTTTGGTTTCTCACAATGTATATTGGATTTATGTTTGTTAAGAATTTTGTATTTTAATTTAAATTGGATTCAACCACAATAAACAAAATGAGACAGACTTAACCATATCACGGCTGTGGATGTGCAGTACACAGAACAAGATTACATTTTTACACTTTTTGTTTAGGAAATAATCTCAAACTCATAGAAAAATTGCAAAACACAGTACAAAAAAACTTTTTGTTTGAATTGTTTGGAAGTAAATTGCCAACCTGATTCCCCATCATCCCAGAAACCTAAGTGGGTATTTTCTACCGTCCCGGACCCTGTCTTACATAATCATCATACATATGAAACAATCATGAGATTAACATCACTTTATTTTTACCCACCCAATCCATTTAAGAATAACTTGTCCATCTAAGTTGTCATATTTCCTTCGGTTGGGAACCATTCCCCACTCTTTCCTTGGTTTTCATGATCTGGACACTTGAAAATAATAGGTCAATTACTTTACAGAATGTTCGTCAACTTGGTTTGCTCATTGTTTTCTTGTGAATAGATTCAGATTATGCATCACTGGCAGGAATGTCACAAAAGCGGTGCTCTGTTCTCATTTCATTCTATCAGGCCTCCACTTTCAGTTTGTCCTATTATGGAGTATTTTCATTTTCATCACTTGATTAAGATGGTGTCTGTTAGACTTCTCTATTGTAAAGATACCCTTTTATCCTTTGAAATTAACAAATACTTGTGGGGGTGGCATTCTTTTACGATCATGTTATTATCATCATTGTTATTTATTCCGATGCTCAATTTTTTTTCTTGATTTGGTCAGCAGGAGCACCTTCAAAGCTGGCTTCTCCGTCCTTTTGACATGTCCTCACTCTCTTGCTTTCTGAAATCTGTATGATGTTCCAGGCTCATCTTGTGCTTTTCCTTCCCCAGCCTTAGAATCAGCCATTTCTTCAAGGAACGCTGGTTTCTTTTAGTGGAAAATAGCAATGAGCAAACCAAGATCTGGACAGTAGGTGAGTTCATTGCTATTGGAGTATTGCTAGCNTCGATGCTCAATTTTTTTTCTTGATTTGGTCAGCAGGAGCACCTTCAAGCTGGCTTCTCCGTCCTTTTGACATGTCCTCACTCTCTTGCTTTCTGAAATCTGTATGATGTTCCAGGCTCATCTTGTGCTTTTCCTTCCCCAGCCTTAGAATCAGCCATTTCTTCAAGGAACGCTGGTTTCTTTTAGTGGAAAATAGCAATGAGCAAACCAAGATCTGGACAGTAGGTGAGTTCATTGCTATTGGAGTATTGCTAGCCCTAGACACTCGCAATAGGCAGAAGTCGAGAGTATATACACGTGTGCACACACACACTTGTGTATATGTAAACATCTGTATTGAGTACTTATCTATATTTTAAAAACTATGATTTCACATTCATGTGTCCAATTTCAGTCCAACTACAGGGTTCATTCTAGTTTTTCTCCATTTCCATATCTGTAACTCCCTTCCAACAGGAGAAACCTGGCTTCCGTTGTCCCCAACATGTTCACTTATTTGGCCCATTCTTCCATATATAGCCAACATCCCATCACCACCTCTGACCTCTCACCCCACTCTGCACGGATGTTCTTCTCACGCAGCTTGGGCTCTGACATCCTGTGATGGGCTGCCTTGTCCCCCCTGTCACCATACAGTGTGCCTTGTCCCCCCTGTCACCATACAGTGTCACCATACACCTTCCTTGACTCTACCTAATGGAATTTGGACTGAATTTTTTAGGAAGAGAAGGGAAGACAAGGAGAGGGGAGATAAAGAAAAGGGAAGAGCAAGATTACATTTTTAAGTATTTCCTGGGCTGTTCACAGGGAAGTCCTTTTTTCCTAACAAAAGTTTCCTGAGATGTAAATTTATTTATAAACGTTTTAATGTAAGTGGTAATGGGATGGAATATTTTGTAAAAGGCTTTTAGCACCTTCTGAGTGGGCTGCAGAAAATGTAGGCTGAGGAATAGTGGTCTCATTTCAGAGGCTGGGAAGGCATCCTGGCCCTCAGATAACTACCTCAACTTGCTCTTGTTTTAAATTTTACCGAAGAAGATTAAATCACTTATGTTAAGGTTTTAATATCCATTGAACTGCAAACTCCCCTCAGAAAATAATTCTTAAAGTTACCTCCAATCATTTACACTTTAGTAATACTGATCTTTGTGTGACAGATTTTGGTGGGAATAAAGACTGACAGAAGGAATGTTAACATGATACAAAAAAAGTCAATGATATGAGTGTTTGGATAGCCAAGATGAACTTAAACCACTTCACAATTTTGCCTACATGCTTACCTATACCCTAGCTCCTTGCAACAATGACTGATGTATAGCAAATACTCAATGTTGGTAAATACAAAATACTCTTTGTACTGAATTTATTGGATATTTCTCATCTGTGGCTAGAAGCCCACCCCTGCCTTCCTGGAGAGGAATTATAAAAATCAGGTATCCCCTTCCTGCCTGATGAACTTCAACATTTTCTTGCTTTCCTACTCTCACCAGAATAAGTCACCCATTGGAAGAAAGTAGGTACATAAACTTCCTTGTTTCAAATGAGTTTGTTTTCAATATAGGCTTCTCTGGGTGGAGAGAGTGGTCAGTTTATCTTAGCTGTGCTCATAGAGTGAGAGTTGCATAAACTGTGTGGGTTTGTGTCTCAATGAGATCAGATGAGCTATAACTCAGCCCTAAGTTCCTATGGAAAGTATGACTTAGAAAAAAAAAATTGTTACACAAAGATTTTGTATTTTAACAAGGACTTCTGGAAAATAACTACCCTCATGAAAGTAATTCTAGGCATCTGTGGTTGGCTGGTACTGGAGGGAGTTGGAGGTATCAGTATCCTCTCTGAGGGCCCCAGACACAAACGCATGATTAAATACTATCGGCATTAAAAAAAAAATGGCACAATATCATTTGGATTCCAATAGGAAGACAGAAACCACTCAGTGTTTCAAACAGAGAGTAAAAAATGCTTGGAATTAGTTATATAAAGTGATGAAAAATGCTGTAAAACCAAAGGACAGTGAGGCATCCCAAAATTAGCAAGAGCAGGGAGCTCCCACCTTCTTTAGGAAGAGACAGTGTTCCTGGAGCCCAGGAGCTATGGCCACACAGCTGAAGTTGAAACTGACGTAGGCTTGACTAGCAGGAGAGGATCTAGTTATTTTTTAGAGATAACACCTACTACGTGAGACCCTGCTAGAGACAGAGAGAGAAGGAGAAATACTGTGGGTTCGCCCTTCCATTCTTGAAACACCCACTGATATCCATTGGTGGAACCTATCCAGAAGTCAGACAACATGGAAATATGAGAGTTCATACCCTTTTTATACAGAACAAGTTAGTAGAAAACTGCAGGAATGGATTTGAGGGCAAATGGGCTTAAGACCAGCCAAGGCCCCTGGGTTAAAAACCTTCATTATGTAGGTCAGACAAATGACTATGATGCAGGGCTGGAAGTCTCCTGAGATGGAAGACCATTGTACTTGGTAGTAGAGATATAACAATGACTAACATGTGATTCCTGCTCTTAAACAGCTCAAATATTCCAAAGCAAGTATGGAAACAAATTGCATCAATACAAAATATTAGGTATCTTAATTTGAGGTATCTGTAGAGTACTATGGGAACATGGAGGAGATGTAGAAATTAATTCTGGAGAAATTGAACAAAGGCATGAAGATTTGCAAAGGTGATATATTTGGAAATTGAATTCTTTAGTCCTCTCTGTGACTTTACCTGGTGCTCGGGGGTAGGGAGATGTATCAGTCAAGACTCCTTTGTTTGAGAATGATAGAAATTCCAACTCAAAATAGCTAAAGCAAATGATGGGACTTATTGATTCACACATTGGAAGTTTAGTCTGGCTTTCATCATTGCAAAGCCAGGAGCTAAGATCAGGCCTCAATCTCCCTCCTTCTTGGCTTCC